ATTGTTCACAGGCTTTCACTCTGGGAGATTATGGCTGAGTTTTACTTTCTCCCTAGTGCATTTCTGCTATTTCTGAATTTTCTACAATGAATACATTTCTCCTGTGATCATAAAAATGTAGTCACCATCAAAATAATCATCCCTACATTATATAGCTCTTTACGTTTCTCAGATAACTTGCATGTGTTATCTCATTTGACCCTTTCGTTAACCCTGTCATGTAAACTGGAGAGAGACTGTTAATGCCATTTTCAGACAAGAAAACCCACCTCTAAGGGGCAAAGGAACTTGTCCAAGGTCACATGCCCCAACCTCTGCTCCTCGTCCGATATTCCTTCCACTATACCTCAGTGCTTTTCCTTGCATGTCAGACTGGCCAGGACAGGAGTCGCCGTCACCTTCAGACATGGAAGGGATGATCAAACATTGTGCAGTGTCTGGTCCCTGGCCTCGTGGCCGGCACACACCTGGATCACCTGAGCCCAAAAAACTTGAGTCGGGGATGGACTAGAAAGTCTTTCTTGGTCATCCCATTGTCAAGTTCTCCTTCCCGTCTAGCTGGGCACTATCTTAATTCATTTGTACTTCGCTGAGATAAAAAGCAATCACCCAGAGAATCGCCGGGTTCCAGACAGGGCCAGTGGTGCCCCAGAGGGTGCTTGATGCTCATCTTTTATGGCTGCAGAGCCCAGGTGGTCCATGCACAGGTGGGAGCCCTCAGCGGGAAAGCCAAAGGCCCGGGACCCTGTCTCTCTTTCCATCACCTTGTCTTGGGACTTCCAGCAAGTTCTTTGTTTCCCTAAACTCCCTGTCAAGCGAATCAGATGCTGCTCCGTCCTATAAATGTGTTTAAGATAGCATTAGGTCCCCACATGCCATGAACTCCATGTCCCATTTCATCCCTTTTTCCACCCATGACCTTCTGGGTAAAAATCAGCTCCTTGCATATGATGGGACCATCAGGCCCTGGCATCCTTGCATGAATGAGGCAAAGCTTCGGTGCCCAGCCCTGGGGTGGGTCATCTGTGTGCAGTGAGTCCTCTAACCCCACCCGGTAATGTTGTCGTGTTTCCACAGTTGCCTCTGAAGACACTCCGGTGAGAAGTCAGCTGAAGCCAACATGCTGTGAACGTGTCTGACCTCACCACACTCGCATTGTAACTCATTTGACATACAGGCTCTGAATGGAGCATTTATTTATTGTAAATACGTGGTTTGCACAGGCTTTAAATCAGTACTGTAGTCGACTTTTATTTTTTAAAAAAAACCCCATACACTGTTTCTCCATTTTTTAAAACGCATCTTGGCATTTGTCTGCCGGTGCCGATAGAGCCCGGTCCCCACCCCATAGCGTCCATTCCATGACTGTAAATATGCGTGCAGGCTGGCCCTTCCTAGGTTTGAAACAGTTTTTAGAAGATTCCTTGGTTGGCAAGTAGTCCCAGAGTCATAGTATCCACAACGGCTTCTTATCGGCATGATTTTATACGCTCAGCGCACATACTGCAAAGTCAAACCAAATAATGCCTTATAAATGACGCAGCTCAGAAAGAGTAGTGTGTCCCACACCCAGACAACGCCACACAGCCTCCAGTAAACGAGATGCCATGTCTCGCTTCCATTTCGCAGTACAGGGAATTTTCCTTTTTATTTCTCTCTCTTTTTTTTTTCTTTCTGCCTAATGTAAATATAATGCAAAATAAAGGCAGGAGTGGACTCGGTCCCTCCTATGCCAACCACAGGGCCCCTTTTGTGACCGAATGACCCTACAAGTAGCCAACGCTCTTACTGTTTACAGTGCCCCTCGTGCCCAAGTCCCTGAGACCTTCCTCCAGGTCCCCAGCCCCATCCTGGCAGCCAGAGTGAGGTGGAGTGAGCTTGATGGGATTTCGGTATTTCCCCTGCAAGCCAGAAACGTACATAACTCATCATGAGAGTAAATTACTAATCCTGTCTCAGAGGTCTTCCCCCGACCCCCACCAAGTGCAGGATTTCCATGGAAAATATGACACTAAAAAGTGTACATCAAAACTTATTATGAAATATCTGCTTCAAATATCTGGTGCCCCATCCCCTTTGGGAAACCTGGACCCAAACATCAGGCAAAACCTAGCTCCCTTCTGAGCTAAGGGGAACCTGAGCAGCCTGAGAGCTCCCGTTCCCCGCGGCGGGGCGGTGCTCTGCGGGGGAGCGGTGTGCGACTTCAGCCACCCCGCACGTGGCAGGTGACAGGATGGATTCCGGCGGCTGCTCTCACACCGTTTGTCTTGACCTGGCAAGGGAATGGAAGTGGGCTTCTGCTTGCCTTCTTGGTCCTCAATGCTCCCCGTCCTTGGAGAAGAAGGCCGTGACAGGAAGCAGAGAAAATAGAAGGAAACAGGCTCAGCCCTCGTCTGTGCTCAAAATGGCTGCAGACGAAAACGAGGCCACAGTGGGAAGGGCCGTGAAAAATAAGTTTCCTGTGGAACCATCCACTCGCGTGCTCGCACCTCAAGGACATCACGCCCAGATCGAGCCACCCCAAAATAGTAGATGGGTAGGAGGGCTTGGGCGGACAAGTGACCACATACACCTAGCTATGGACCGGAGTAAAGACTGAGATGCCAGACTCCATGATCGCCGTGCTTCCTCCCGCCGGACAGAAGCAAGTGAGCAAGGTCAAGTCTCCTCCAGGGAATAAATCATGCCAAAAACTGTAACGGCTAAATCGATGGAAAAGAGGTTTTTCCAGGTCATCGACCCTGGACATACCTGATTTGTCTCATTGGTTCTGGAAGGTTTCCAGAAGGTCGGAATTTCTTTAGTCTGACAGTATCCACTCCACCTCCCTCCCAGTTGTACAAAATCATTAGAGAGGTCTTAATCATCACGGATAAGAATGCCCTGCACAAAGACAGTTCCATCTTTAGAATGCACGGCCTGCCCTGATGTGCTGTTTATACGTGTGTGCTCTATACCGCAGGGAGGGCAAAAAAACTATTCAAGGACAGAGAGAAAAAGGAATGAGCAGAAACCAAAAATCACAATGAGGGAGAAATCTCAGGAATCTGGCATCACATCTCTCCTGGAGACCTACCCCTGAATTCAGGCCCTTGGGACCCATGCTGGAGCACCGAGTCCCTCCGGCAGGACAAAGGCTGAGCTCCTCGACCACGAATTCACACGCGGAGGCGTCACGGCGCCCCTCCCACCCTCGTGCGCCCGCCGGCACTGCTGTCTGTGCTCCTGCGGCGTCTCCCACGTACTTCGTATTTGTCGATGTCCCCTCTGCTGATTCATTTCTTTGTACCTAATAAACTTTAATAAGTGGAAATGCTTCCGGTCGTTTCCTTGTTCAAACCCATCGGCAGTCACCGGTGTTAGTCCCGGCCAACCATTTTTAAGGATTTGGAGGGTTTCTAAGAATGACAGAGCAAAAAAGATGTGTACGCAGGACCCCAGACTTGCTGTAACATCCTGTGTTAGAATGGGGGGCTTTCTTTTTTTGAGCTGACAGTTCCGACGAAACAACACAAAGTCGTAGTTTAATCCTCGTGTTTTCCTGGTGTTCGTAGGCTAACTAGATAAATGGATATTTGGAAAAACCAACCAAGGGAAAAACTTTCTCAGATGCATTTCTTTAAAAAAGTAGGTAACACTCTATTCAGCTGTATTGATACAATATGGGTAGACAGTATTGCTTATAAATTCCTCTGTGTTAAAATAGAATGACATTCAATGCAAAATACACTTAACACCCCGACCCCAAGTTAGCAAGCCCCTCAAAAATTCTCCTATATGGGGCAGTATCATCTCAATCTCCACTATAGTGTTTTGAGGTGTACTCTCCAAAACGCGGTCCCACAGACGAGGTTTACCTGCTGGGCAAGCTGGCTCAGGGGCACGCGTGGATCTGAAGCTGCGTTGCATCTTACGAGTTTGAGGAAGTAACTTCCTTCATCACAGTCGGTGCCTCGGTTTCCTCATCCGTAAAATGGAGACATAAAATAGGTGCCTGAGCATATGGCGGTGAAGGTTCAGTGACATGGCACCTAGGCGAACCCTTAGCCCACACCCGGGTATCGGCACATGACACACTCCAGGGCACAGCCAGTTTGCCTTATTACGTGCTCGGTCACAAACGGCTCTTGCTGGCTGTGCCCCAGGCAGACCATTGAAATGTTTGCTGTGCTGCTCAGATGACCCTCCACTAGCTGCGCTGTTGGAGAGAGCGGTCATTAAAATTCATAGACGTTCCCGAAATAACTCATGTAGAAACTAATTTCAAAGTTAACTGCTACACACTTTGCACCCAAATTAGTCAAGCACCTGACTTGTTTTATCTGCTGTCTTATTGGTGGAGGTGCAGATAGGCTGTTTAATGACCAAGAGGGCCAGGCCAGTCTGAGTAGAGAAGGACAACAGCCTAAGGTAATTGACAAAGTGGATGGTGAACTTCAAAGCCATTGATTGTGGAGGGTGGTGAAGTAGCTGTAATCTTAGGTACCCCCTTAGCTAAGGGTGGGAGAGGCGGGGGTGCCTGCCTGGGTGAGGGGAGCAATTTCATGGAAAGGGCTCTAGACCCCAGAAGCAACTTCCATGCCCCAGGAGGCTTTGACTTCCTTCATGAATCTTCTGTCATAGGTTGAACTGTGTCTTCCAAAACTTCATATCTTACAGTCTTAACCCCCAGTACCACAGAATAGAAGGTGATCTGGAAATAGGGTCGCTGCAGATGTAATTAGTTGAGGTCATAGGAAGCAGGTGAACCTCTAATCCGATATGACTGATACTGTACAAAAAAGGGAAATTTGGACACAGCCCCATACACAGGAAAAACGTCACGTGAAGATGAAAGCAGAGACTGGGCTGACGTGTCTACAAACCACGAAATGCCGAAGACAGCCAGCAAACCGCCAGAAGCCAGGGGACAGGCATGGCACAGAGCCTCCCTCACAGGCCTCAGAGGGAACCAACCCCACCAACACCCGAACTTGGACTTCTCGCTTCCAGAATACTGAGACGATAAATTTCTGTTGTTTAAGCCATCCAGTTTGTGGTGCTTTGCTATAGCCGCCCTAGCAAGCTAAAGCCGACTTTATCGCCTTCTGACTTTGTAGGAATACATTAATTATGTTTATGAACAAAGCCGGAAATAAAGTTTAAAGAGTTAGCAGTTCCTTGTCATATAAATGGGGCAGTTAACTACTGTGACCAAGACACAAGTCACTCGTTGCCAGTAACTAAGTCCTATTTCCATGAACAAGATGTTCCGTTGCATTTTTGCCTGTCAAGGTGGAGACAGGATCGTGGAAGCCATCTGCATTTCTAAGTCACAAGAGTGGAGAGAGCGCTTGTTCCTTAAGCAGTCCCCTAAGAGGTGCTATCTTGTCGTTTTATTTATTTTTAAAATGTGAATTTGTCTACAAAATGGCATAAAATGGAGAAAACTGCCGAACCAATCAGGTTTTCTGAAGATTTGAACCAGAAAAAGATATGCCTTTCCATACATTTTCTGTGTTTTAACTGATGCCCAACATTTATTCATGAAACACAAAATAGAAGAGGCCACTGAACGTTAATTTCGGTACTTTTTATTGTATGCTACGCGTATTTAGAGACAATTCCAAGGGCAAGCGCTGGATGGGAGTTATCTGGTTTGCAGGTATTTGTACAAAAGGCTGTTAAGACCACACGGTCAGTCCCCACTGCAGGAAACAGAGACCCTCCTTTTTATTATTCCCCGCCAATAGCAATTCCAGCTCATACATTCAACTTCTCACAATGTGATTGCGAACATGTACGAATCCGGCCCCGTAAGAAATCTGCAAGTGACATTTCGGGGTGGTGAAAGCCAATCGCATAAAGCACATTTGACACAAACCACAGGAGGGGAACCGGGACTTAGGGCCGAGGGGAATGAAATGCCACAGCTACAGGGAAGCACGAGGTAGCGCTGGGACCGCACGTGTGTGTGACCTGCCACTCCTGTTCCCCCTCCGTATAAGAATGGCCAGCTAGGTGGGGTCCCCTCCCTCCTTCCTCCATACGCTTCTTCCTGAAGCTGAGAGCTCAGCTGAAGGCCTCCCCATAAGTGACTTGACTGTTCTTCAGTCAAGAATGCAGTTAGTGGTTTCATAACAGAGACACTGGTCCCACCTGGCTCCCCTGCTAGGCCAGCCAGAGCTGTGCCCACCTATAACCATGTGGATGACATCAGGGATCAAAGAAGTGTGCCTGGTTGATAATTATTTTTTATACCTACTGGTTTACCCAATAGCGAAAGAACCTCACTGCTAATATCTAATAGGTGTACACCTGCTCTGTCAGACAGCTTGTAAGAAAGGCTAATAATAACACTGTGTCTTATGTTAGTAGACACTAAAGAATCACCATCATTTCAAGTATATCCTTATCCTACCTAACGTTCCCAACCACCTCCAAGAATGAAAGAGTACTACTTCTGCTTTGCTAGTTTTCTTTCACTGGAGCCTCTCCCATTAGCGTAGAGGGCTGTCTTCCTCTGTGACAACTCCCCTCTACTAGAGAAGACTAATTAGCTTATGTTTGGTTATGGGACGTGGGAGCCGGGGGTGGGAGGGGATTCTGTCCTTTATGGCCATGTCTTCTTTCTGTACAAAACATGCAGAGCGCCCCCGTCCCCGAGTCTTAATGGATACACGAATGATATTTTAGGAAGCTATTTACACACTGACCTTTAAACATTATTTTCATAGTTCATTTTGAATATTCGTTTTCTCCATATTGCCTTTAGAAGAACAATTCCTGGTCAATAAATGATCCATGTAATGATAAGCATTTTTCAAAAGCGGAGTCTGTTAGGAGCCTTTAAAAACTAACATTCCCCCCGCCCCCCCCCAACAACAACCTGCTCAAAATCCAACACACTTCAAGCTGTTCAGTAGATGAGTCACTAGAAGTGAGAACAGCCACATCGGCAGATTCTTCGCTCCCTTCTTGTCTTTCTCCATCCATCCAATGCATTAAAAAATCTGTCCACTGCTATTATTCGGATCTGACTACACACAGACCACCTGTGCCTGATGGAAGCAGCCCAGTCCCGGTTAACTTCTGGGCTACCTCGCCCTCTAGTGGTCAGACAGAGGCACCACACCTGTGATGCACAGTGTTAGCCAAGACAACTCTGAGTTAGGGTCCACCCTTCTCTGAAGTGCTGGACTAAGGTCAACGTCCCCTAATACAAGCTGCCATTGTGTTTCCCACTGTACAATGGCTGGGGCATGGCATAAGGCTGCCTTGGTTGTCCGTGACCTTTGTTTGGCCCCTAATAATGAAAGCGGGCGTCTGTGTAACCTATTCTCATAGATCCCTTTTGGTCAAACACCGAATCACCAAATCACAGACATGTCAGGTCTGGTGAAATGTTTCCATAATAGGAGGGGGTAAGACGACATGGTGAAATTGATGCTTTATGCATCACCTTGCTTTAAACAACCACTCAACAGGTGGATTTAGGAGGGGGACGGGTACCCTTTCCTCTGTAGACAGATACTCTCAGAATGGCCGCTGCACCTTCAAGGAGACCCCGAGTTCATCAACAGTGAAAGCCTAGGCCAAACCTGGACAACACTCTCAGCAACTATGAGCCACGACGAACAGCCGCTGTTAACTCTGCCGGCTCAGAGTCTCACCACTCATAGTTAGTGATTTTACATACGGAATTTACAAAGCTGCTGGGCAAAAAGCTCATGCTGCTCTTATGCCTACCCTCTTAAAGAGAGCTGGTAGAAAAACAGATCTGTTCCGATAAAACCTGTGACCCTCAGTGTCCACAGCGGTGTATGGGACCCAAGGCCCTCCCGACTCTCACGGCCTCGCACACACTGGTGCTGAGACAGAGTCACTAGGAGCAATTAGGCTGCCATTCTCCCACAAGCTGGCAGAGTGACACACCCTCTCTCAGTCACCGCTGGCCACTTTCCATTTCATGAGTGGCGGAGTTTCAGTAGCTGGAGGCAAGACCCCCACTACCCCCTGCCCACTTCAGCTCTCAGTCTGAAGGCAGCTAAAGGGACATGCGGGTGGGAGGAGGAAGAGAAGGACCAGGGAAAGCCAGCTGCCTCCGATACAGCTTTGCGGGATTGAACAGGCTGGGCAGGAAGGGTGGAGGCAGGATGGGTACCCTGGCGTGAAATGCTTCTACATCCATCTGTCGCCTTCCTGCCCTCTGCCTTCTCAATGCCGAGCCCATCTGGTCTTCCTCGCACGCTTTTCTATGCTCTGGTGTAAGTCAAACCCTTCATAGGAACGCGATGTTGGAAACAAATCAGCTTAACTCATGTCTCTGCTGAGATCACGTTGTGGCTGCTCAGATTCCAGCTACTTTAACTAGAACCTAAACCGTCAAAAGTTTCTCCTTTTCTCTCCCTCATTAGCTGAGAGATTCGCAGCTTTGTGGGGTGGAACTGTGCCACAGGGCCATTTAATTAATCCTAAACTACATGGCAGGAACCGGGCCTGGAATCACTCCTACACAAGGCCACATCCATGTGGCGGGTATGCTGCTATGTAGGAGAGCCAGGTGACTTTTGGGAGAGCCACACGGTGATTCAGGGAAGTCTCTGGCATAGCTGCCTGTGAATCTCTAAAGCGGGCAGGTGCCAGCTAACGCAGATGACCAGGGATCCCACACGTGGAAGCACTCTGTGCGGCCACGGCACACAGCACAGTGCACAGGATCACGCAACGAGGATGGAGCTGGGACTGGGGAGGAGCTCCCTTTAACTCCCTCCCATGGCTTCTGTCCCTTAAAACAGGGGTCCCCAACCCCAGGGCCGCAAACCGGTACCAGTCCGTGGCCTGTTAGGAACCGGGCCACACAGCAAGAGGTGAGCAGCAGGCGAGCGAAGCTTCGTCTGCATTTGAGCCGCTCCCCAGCACCAGCATGACCGCCTCAGCTTCGCCTCAGATCACCAGGCATTAGATTCTCATTGGAGCACCCGGTCCCTGGTGCCACAAAGGTTGGGGACCGCTGCTTTAGAAGACACATCTGGAGACATTCTGCACTATAGGCACACACTCTAGTAGTGGGAGGCCAAGACGCTTTTCTCTGGAGCACACACAAGAGCCCCAGGCCTGACAAAAAAGTGCCCTCTCTTAACCTGAAAGGAGCCAGTACTGAGAGTAAAAACTTTTGAAGATTTTGCTTTCCCCACAAACTCAGCACCGCGGAGCCTGCCTTCCAGGGCTCGATGAACTCCAGAACTCCCGTGGAGAGGCTAATGTGTCCATTGTCACTGAAATACAATAATAGCAGCTTAAAATCCACAGTTAGTCATACGATCGAACAACAGGAGAATGGGATACGCGTTACTCCGCCGAGGAAGGGGACCTACACTGCAGAAGGGGCCTTTTTGAGATTCGAGCAGAACACAGGTTAACAGTTTGATTTGGCTTCAGAAAAGGAGACCACATCAGAACTTTCTCATTTTACTCGAACAGGAGAGTGGTTGTTTTGCTGGTAATTTAGTAAGGTGGGAAGTTTTAAATAAGAAGGGGAAAGAGAACGCTTACTTCACTTAAAGAACTTAATCTCCGTGTCAACACAGTCATAGAAAAGATCCCCCACTTCCGCGGGGTCCGGGGGGCCGGCGCTGGTCAGGATTTCTTCCATGGCTTCCAGGCCTTGTTTCTCTAGCTCCAGCATGGTCTTCCTCAGCTTTTGACCTTGCTCCTGAGGCAGGACAAAGATAGTGGGGGTCATTGCGATGGACACTGAAAGCTTCTCGGGGGGTGCGGGGCTACCCACCCTATTCAATCTGCTCCCCACAGGACCGCCACAAAGATCCTTCTAGAATGCCAATGTGGCTATGTCGCTGCTCTGCTTAGAATACTACACAGCTTGCCATGGCCTCCGGGATAAATCCCGAGTGACAGTCAGGGAAGGCCTGTTGTAACGTACAATGCTCTTCCTTGCTTCGCCTCCTGCCAAGCTCCTTCTATGAGCCAGGCTGAATGAACTGCATTCCTCCAACCC